GAAATACAGAGTCTAACTATTTTTTTCCAGGGGGATATATAAAAGAATTGTTGTTTAATAACAATAAATTTCATAGACTTTATTGCTTCTTGATTATCAGAAGTAATCAAAATAATGTTCTTATAAATTATTCGATTATTACGATAGAACTAATTTTCATTTTATAAGTTGCTAGTAATTCGAATATTGAGCACAATTGTTTTTTTTATTTTACTTACTCGAACAATACTTTTGTAGCCAAATTTAGTAAGATTACTTTAAGAAAAAATATAAGGAAAGTCTATAAAGAAATTGAAATACCCGACAAGTATCAAGCCCCGGTAGTTTATCCGAATTTCTTTTTTTTTTCCTTTGGCATGAAATGCTGACCATCAGAACTTTGGTTCCAAATGAAACGAACATTATATTCACAATCAGCAGAGAAATCTGAACAAATTTCAGTCTCTGCACTGCTAAGTTCGAACAATCCGATCGGTGCCTCCCCTTAACACCGAATCTTGGCAAAAACTCGTTCAGGTTAGTTTAAGATTTAATATAGAAGAATTTAATCTATACCGTTAGAAAAATAATTGAAGGTGGTTTCATTGGATATTCAACAGGCAATAAAATTCGACCATGATAAATACCATGTTCAAATTCTGTATCTTTAGGACCACGTATTGTAAAATGCCATTCATATAAATTATTCTAATAAATATTATTTTATTTATTATTAATATTAAATACTTTTCATAAACCTACTTCAATTGGTTGACAATAGAATAGTTCAGTTGGCTCTTTTAATTCAATAGCTTCGCGCATTAATCGTTTGATTGCTAAAAAAAAAAAACAAATTATTTAAATAAAATTTAAAAAACAAAAAAGAAAAATTTTCATTTAATATTTTTGAAACATACAACTGCTTTGTGTATTATAAGATGATGTAGACATTTGTTCAAATGAATTCGACATCAATGTTATAAATCAAAGAAATCTACAAAATAAAATATTCAAATAATAATATTGCTTCTATTCTGTAAAATAACAGAAGTAAATCTGTGTCTTTTTTTTTTTTTTAATTTATTTCATTCCATTTAAGTGTTTGATAATGAACTTGTTGTTGCTGGTAGGAATGTTTATTTGTATTATTGTTATTAAATAAATTATTACTATTAATTGAAGATATTTCCGTAGAAAACAATGATGATCGTTCATCTGTTGAACAATTCGATATAGATGTTGTTGATGAATCAAATATATTTGCAGTTGAATCAAGCTAAAACAAAAACTATATTTTATTAAAATTCTCGAAGAGAATTTTTCAATTATATAGTTCATGTTACACACGTGGTTGATATACAATCAAAAACTATCTATCAATAATATTTTGTTATAATCTTTAAACTACTTTCTTCGTGTGTATTCCCGAAGAATTAAAGAAAAGAATGATGAAGAAATGTCTCTCAAAATAGATAGAATAAAACAATCTTCTTGTGATTAGCAATAACAACTACATAGTGTTACACATTTTAATCCTACAGAGATTGTGCTAACAACTCTTTTTCAATGATATTGTTCCATGAAATAGTTTTTCTAGATCAGAAAAGCTATGACACATTCTATTTGAAGTATAGATTTTCTCTACTGAAAATGATTGTTCTAATATAATCAATCCTGTCAATAATTTTCTAAAGAAAAGATTTAATATGTTCTTTAACACAATTGTATCTAAAGCTTTTGAATAAAAAAATGTTAATCAAGACTCGTGAACTTCTTTCAATGTTACGAAAATTATAGATTTCATTGAAGTTGACTTGAAAATGATATAAACATGTTTATTTTTTCGTATATTGTACAATTTATGAAAAATTTGATTGATATTAAATTATTTAAGGTATTAATGCAAATCAATGGTTTCACTTCTATCATAAGTTTACACACAATTATATATTGAAATGTTCTTTTTGCTTGCTCATGTCGTATTAAAAGTTTAGAACAGATGATCCTATTCGTCAAAATTCCGATAGGATTCAAGTGATCCGATTTGAGATGATCGCATTTGAGAGTTGATAAACTCTATTGAATTCTAACACAAATATGTTCTTGCTTGAATTTGATATTTTACTTTTCAACTTACTTGATTATTTTGTGTTAATGTCCAATTATCTGACATATTATTAATTCTAATCATTGATATATCATTAGATATATTTGGTTGTTGAATTTTATTATTTTCTGATTGATTTTTAATTAATGATCGATGACGAAAATTTCGATGTTTTTGTAATGATGAATTACAAGTAAAATAAGCTGAACATATATTACAAAAAAAATCTGTTTGTATTTGATGTAATTTTTTTTCATGCATTTTTAAATTATGTTTTAATGAAAAATATTCATGACAAAGTTTACATTGATATAAATGATTATTTAATGTATTATATTTTTTATTTTTTTCATGTTTTGTACGTTGATGACGTTCTAATGATGATATTTGACTAAATTGTTGACCACATTCAGAACAAAGACAAGGTTTTTCACCAGTATGTATAAGAATATGTCGAGATAGATGACTTGGTGAAGAAAATAATTTTGAACAATAAGAACATGAATATGAATGTTGTTTATCTTCCACTTGATGAATAGATGATGAAGATGATTGTGTTGAATACGATTTTTTTACAAATATTGTTCGAATTTGTTCGTTAATAGGCATGAAAAAGAAGATTTATATTTGCAGATATTGACGTGGTGACAGCTTCATGTTACGTTGTAACTGATTCTTTCATAGATTCTTGACCAATAGGAATAAACTATTTTAATAGAGGTCAGTCAAGAACAAACAATTAATGATGATAAAAAAAAGTCGGAATTTAGATCAGACTTTATATTAGAATTATCTCGGATGGAAGAAAGCAACTTCATGATCTTGAATAATTTTCGTTTTTCTCCAGCTAAATTTCAGAGTCCTCTTGTTTGTTTTGCTCACCTATTCTCTAAAAAGTCGTTCAACTTCTGTTCCAAATTTCGTCGACTTTTGCAAAAATCTTTCAATCGATCTATTGAGTCATCGCTTTTTTCCAGTTCTGACGATCTTGAGACATTTCTACTTCATTTGAATATATATTACAGATTGATCTGTTCATAATCAATTGATTTACCATTCAAAAATAGATATGGGATCCCAGGCGAACAAAGGACGAGTATATTTATAGCTGAATTTTTTTTGTGGCAACTAGGACCAAATCGATGTGTATATATTTTTTTTTCTTTGAAAAATGTTGTTTCCTTCGCTTAGAAGAACTGAAAGTCCTATCAAAAAAAACGTGTTTGTCTCCATAGGGCAAATTTTGTAAGATCTACCGAAAACCATCAGAATATTATTTCAAGAAAAGAAAAAATAAAAGCACTCTGATTCGATTGTAGTTGTTACACAAAAAATTTCAGCTCAATCGACCGAAGCGTCTGAGAGAAAAAAGGGGAAAACTTCAATTTTTCTCTAAAAAAAGTTGATTTTGAGAAAAATGCGAAATAAGCTAAAATGACATTTTTTCGATATTTCATGTTTTTCATATTTTTATGCATATCTATCAATTAACGCACTAGCAAAGTAGCTAGGAGGATGCATCGCTGATCCACATAACGCATTTTGAAAATGAAATAACTATATTAGTATAGATCACTTACAAACCGACAGAACTGTAGAACGTGACTTTTTTGTATAGGGTATATCGAAAGTCGGGTTTTTTAAGGATCTAAATAAACATTAAAACTTTTCGTTCATATGCAATTCGATAGAGAACTCTTGAATGTCTTAATAGATACAAAAAAATCAAAATCGAAAAAAGTGAACTTTTGGAATCAGGAAAAGGGGGGGAGGTGCTCTTAATTGTTTTAATCCAACTGTACGTATTTATTATTTAATTTTCGACTTGTCCAATTTCTGAAACACAAAAGTCGAGACCAACAAATTGTACTTCTCTTTTCTTCAAGAAATCGATCGACCTGCTTCTAATTTATTTACGTTTATTCTCTCTTCATCTTTAGAGAAAGATTTGAGTATGGGTGTGATCAATTTGAAAAAAGTGTTGAAAAGTGTTGGAAGTCCTCTGGAGACTTTCATAAACTTTTGCAAAAAAATGGAAAATTTGATTAACATGCAGTCATAGGCTTTGAATTGATCTGCCGATGATTCTTAAGCAAGATCGAAATGATCATCGTAAGCAGCTTGGATTCTAAAATTCTGTTAGGAACTACATCTAGACCTCAGACATCATTTTCTACCACTTTAACATTGGAAGGAAAACAAATAACATCACGTTCAAAATTGACGGACTGATTGATCGAAATATAATGAGTTCAAGAGACTAGTACCGATAGCTTGACAAATGAGTTATATTATCGACGTCACGTTTTTGTCTTGGTGCATCGTCTCTGCTCGTTGATTTCTTAAAGCTTGCTAGTGCTTGTTCAGACATCCATTTTTGATGGATCTTACTCTGTCTTCGTAAGGAATTTCTTGAATACTTCAGAATTCATTAAATAATGTCCATATGACATCATAGTGACCAAAAATTTGCGTAAGAATTATGAGATCAGAGAGATTGTTATAATAATTTCTTTTTATTCAACCGTGAATGCATTTTAATACGCATAAAAATTTAAGGAAAGCAAACTGTTCGATATAAAATACTAAAATTATACAAGAACTACTTATGAACGAGTTTGCTTTTTAGGACCAGCATCAGGAATAATGACGCTCTTGGAAAAAATTTAAAAACATGAAAAAATAGAAGCATATGAGAAGAAAGGATAAGGTCAGTGTTGGATTAAACTAATACACAAAATTGAACATTGGTGTATGGTAAATGTCGAAATCACTGCCATTAGTGTTATTTCCAAAATGTTTGAGAGCCCAAAATCGAAGCCGATATTGGCCACGGCCAAGCTTGTATTTATCAGCACGTAGTTTCTTGGGGTAAAGAGCCGAAATGGCTGCAGTCGAAACTACTTTTCTGACCATACCAGTCCAATGATAAATATAAGATTGGTTGTACAATACGCCTATGTCTGAAGCACTATTTCTTGGTATATTAGAGAAGTATAGTGGACCTATTCCACTACGGTTGCACACAATACCATAGCTGTGAAATAAAGAGAGTGGTATTCATGAGATTGTATCAGCAAATGATAAACATCTGATTTTGAGAAATTTCATGAAAAAAAACTGCTAAATTAAGTACATTAGTCAGCGCTCTTCAAATTAAGAAATGAAGTACTAACAAAAGAATGTCTCCTCGAGATTAGAGCTATATTGATTAATAGCGAAGTTATCGAATTGAGGAAATCGATAAATATTATGAGTAGGTATCATGTTATCGTATATCTACGGTTTTCATCTTTGAACTGTTATCAATATGTCATGAATAGAGGTGATCGGATGAGATCAAGGAGGAAATAGAATGTTTCAATCAAAAAAACGCTACAAAAAACAAACATATGAAGGGCTAATCCGTCAGTTTTTGATGAATTTGTTCACTCACTCTTTATCAGTAAAAATGCTTCAGAAGTTAAAAAAGCATTCCAGTAAAATCTTAATGTTATTTTCTTTCTTTGAGTATGTCTACTGAGTTTTTGTGGGACCTTTAGCTTGTGAATTCTTTACCAGTCTTTAATTGGTCCGAAATTGAATTATAATTTTTCTTAGCGTCAAACAACTCGTCTAAAGTCGAAGCCAAGATTATTCGAAATACATAGACAATATATGCTGTAAAGTGTGTTCAGTTCTATCTATCTGAATATTTTTTTGATTGATCGATTTTTTAATCTTCAGAATTTACAAAATCAATTTTACACTGGAGTACTAGTAGAACTAAAATCGTATTTTCAATCTTCTTTCGCTCAATTCTCTGAAGAGCGAGAGTCTCTCATGACAAAGTATGGAAATAAAACTTGCAGAGGATACTTTAATTCATGAAAGTGAGAATGTTTAGATTGAGTCGAGTTACAGCAGACTTCTGAAATCAAAAATATGAAGATCCGAAAATTAGGAATGCTGCATTTTCAATATTTTTCAGTATTGTCTTTGAGAGTCGAGAGTGCCAGTTCTTATTCTCATGTTTTGAACTGTCTTCTACAACTGTCGTTCCAATACATTTGCTTTCATAGGTTTGCTATGATCGGAAGTTTGGCCGAAACTCTGGTCCCAATAACAGTGTTCGTCTTTAAATGTTTTGTTTTTATCACAAAAACAGAGCGTTTGTTGATCTTTTGGTTAGGGAGTTTTGTAGAAGTATTTATAATCATGAATTGACTCTAACCCTTTGAGGACAGTGAGACAACTATGTCTCACCTGTTTTTCAGTAGAGGAAAAAATGTTTTGTTTACATTAAACTGTTAGACCTGCCAAGTTATAAAGATCGTAGGTTGTCCCATTTGTCATCTCAGGTATACCTTTTCTGTCTTTCTTCTTGTCGCATATATCCTTCTCAGATATTCTCTTGCCTTTCTATTACTGTACAGTGATAGTATAGTTTATCTCTCTCCTTCTTATACATAGTTTTTTGGAAATATTCGAGAAGATTCTCACTCTCTATTGCTCTTGTATATATATATACCTGTTTCTGTTCTCATTAATGGAGTTACGTTATTCTTGATTATGAAATAGAATAAACATTTTTCTTTCGCTACCAGGTAGAGGTATATCATGATTTTTAAATGAAAGACATGAACCCAATTATCATATGAGCTTTCAAATGTTTTACATTATGGATTATTCAGCAAACTTTGTTTACTTTTACATTCAAAGGAAAATCAAATCACATGGTTTTAGTGCCAAAGTTTCTCTGCTATAGTATTGAGCGGATAAATCTTGAAAGATCTTCCTCTGAGAAGAAGACTAAACTAGCATTCTTACAATCTATTCTTCATTTTCAGGATGAAATGTATTTGTCTGTAAAAGAAACATGAATAAGTTGTGTTTAATGCAGCGACAAGAGGTACAAGTTAAAACAAACATCGAATGTTTCACTTACAAATCAGCATTTTGTTTAAAAGATGAAACAAATGGGTTTTTTTGATTGTCATAAGATTTTTATGTAATCGTTTTGAGTTAAATAAAATAAAATGATTAAAGAACCACTTTTCGGTTAAAAAAATACCGTCCTCAAAGGGTTAATAAAAACTTTGAAATAGATTTTGTTGACCTACATAAACTTTCAAAAATGTTTCAGAGAACTCGTTACACACAAACAGTAGATACTATTGTAGCCAACCAAATTCTGCATAAAATGATATATTTCTTGATTTTTTTATGAATTTTCTGAGACGATATATGATACGGGAATTCTCAGAGAGCAACGTTCTAGAAGATTTTTCGCAGTAGTTTGGCTCTTTATACCAGATGGCTAATCTTTCCTTTCCAACTGTGTAACTTAAAATGATCTCGTTACTATATATTGGCATGCAAGTAAAATTTCAGAGTTTCGTACATGAAAATCTAAGTCTTACGGTTAGAGTTTCGGGTAAACTTGGCAAATGTGAACAGTCAAGACTTAAACAGATAACAATGTCGAAAAACGCTGATGCAGAAAAACAAAATATCGAGAATGAAAATCGAAAAACGTTTTGCCGGATATGAAATTGCGGGAAAGTGGAGAGACAAACATGATGAAGCCTGGAAAAGGAAAGACTTTTCTCTACATCAATACCATACAC